CGCGGCCCGCGCTGGGCGAGGGCTGGGAGGAGGTGCCGAGGGATTGCCCTGCTCTGGGAATTACCGAGGGATTGCCCGTCCCTGGGAATTGCCGGGAGGCACGTGGGGGTTGTTGTTGTGGCAGCGCTGACCCCTCTCTGCTCCCCCCACACGGGTGAGAAGCCCTACAAGTGCCCCTGGGGAGGCTGCACCAGGGAGTTGGCCCGCTCCGAGGAGCTCACTTGGCACCTCCACAAGCAGCCAGTGCCAGGCACTGTGCCCATGGAACACCATCCTGGGCAGGGACATCAAGTCCTGTGGTGACATGGCCCCCAAAGAGAACTGAGTGGGACAATGGGAGTCCTTTCAAAACCAGCCTCGTGGGCCAGAGAGCTCGGGATGGGGCAGGGGGATCATATTCCCTGTCAGGCACCAGCCTCTGGGAAAGGTGAATGGAATAAAGGACTGTTAAAGACCACACTGAGAGCAATGGGTGTGGGACCTTCAAACACTGGGATCTACATTTAGGAAAGGCCCACGCTGGAACAGTTCCTGAAGATCTGTAGCCTGTGGGAAGGACTCACACTGGAGAAGTTCATGGAGAACTGTCTCCCGTGGGAGGGACCCCACTCTGGAGCTGGGGAATGACCCCTCTCCCTGAACAGCATCAGGAATGTGGGATGACCTGACCATGCCTCCCATTCCCATCTCCCTGCACCACTGGAGGGAGGAGACAGAGCCTAGGAAGGAGGGGGGGGGGGGAAAGAGGTTTTTAAGCTTTATTTTACTTCTCATTCTCCTCCTCTAATTTTGTTAGTAATAAATTCAGTTAATATCCCCAATTTGGATCTGTTTTGGCCATGACAGTGATCAGTGAGTGGCCTCTCCCTGTCCTTACCTCAGCTCCTGAACTTTAGGCTGTATTTTCTTTCCCTGCCCAGCTGTGGAGGGCAGTGATGGGCAGCTTTGGTGGGCACAGGGCATCCAGGAGGGTCCAGCCCACCACAGGGGTGGGCAATATGCTGGTTCTGGCCAGGACAGGGGTAACTTGTGCATCTCCAGGAGGAGCAGGATCCTGGGTTATTGATCCCACCTCAGCCATGTGCAGGGGGATGGAGTCTGGGGGGTTCTCCCCAGCTTTCCAAGATGTGGGGTCAGGTGGTTCCACCTGGTGAGGGATCACCTGGGAATCATTCCCTGCTTTATACACTCTGTTGCTGGTGTTGGTACTGTTAGTTTTTTTATTTCACTGCTGTTTCTGGTTAATTGTTCTTATCTCACCCCCGATCTTTACTTTCTTATGCCCCCACTTCTCCTCCCCATCCCCCCCGGGGTGCTCTGGGGTGTTTCAGTGGGAACACTAAACGGGGGGATACCATTCCTAAAACACCACAGGTGTACTGGACATCCCTCCAGGGGGAGGCAAACGGTGGCCTGCACTCTGCTGCCAGAGGAAGGACCTGACCACTCCCTGGCTCTCCAGTTCCCAAATCATCTCATGGATGGGGATCACAGAGTCTCAGTTCCATCCTCGTGCCCAACCTGGCCCCTTCTCCTGGTATGGAGGGGGCAGGGGAGCTCCCACTACTGCCAGCCCCCCTCCCTGCCCCACAGCACGGCACACACGGAGCGAACCCGACTCCTTCCTGTGTCGAAAAAACGGGTTTGTATAAATCTCCCAGCTCTGGAGGCTCGAAGTGCCCCTCGGGTCGAACAACAAAAGAGCAAACAGACCCGCCCCCGCCCCAGGGCTCGCAGCAGAGCAGGGGGGGCGATGGAGTCCCCGCCTGGGGGGGCCGGAGCTGGCCCCAAAGTCCCCGGGAACGGAGCAGCCCCAGCCCCCGAGGGGCTCAGAGACCCCCCGGGTTCTCCCTTCTCTGGGGGAAGGCAGGACACGGGAGCAGCCCCGGGAGGAGCCGCATCAGTTGGAGAGCTCGGCTTTGGAGAGGGAACAGCAGAGGGGTGGGGACACACAGACTGAGACCTCGCAGGAGTCACAGAATCCTTTGGGTTGGAAAAGCCCTGAGACCATCGAGTCCAACCATCCCCCAGCACTGCCAAGGCCACCACTACCCCATGTCCTCAAGTGCCACATCCACATGGCTGTTAAATCCTTCCAGGAGAGGGGACTCCACCCCTGCCCTGGGCAGCTGTGCCAGGGCTGCACAGCCCTTTCCATGAAGAATTTTTCCTTAATATCCAACCTGCCCCTCCCCTGGCACAGCTGGAGGCCGTTCCCTCCCCTCCTGTCCCTTGTTCCCTGGGAGCAGAGCCTGATCCCCCCCGGTTCCCCCCTCCTGTCAGGGAGTTGCAGAGCCAGAAGTTCCCCCCTGAGCCTCCTTTTCTCCAGGCTGAGCCCCCCCAGCTCCCTCAGCCGCTCCTGCTGCTCCAGCCCCTTCTCCAGCTCCGTTCCCTTCCCTGCACACGCTCCTGCCTCTCAGTGTCTCTCTTATCTGAGGGGCCCAGAGCTGCCCCCAGGGCTGGAGGTGCCTCAGCAGTGACAGCACCAGGATGGGCACTGCCCTGGTCCTGCTGCCACACCAGGGCTGGCACAGCCCAGGTGCCCTTGGCTCCTTGGCCACCTGGGCACACACTGGCTCTTCCAGGTCCTTTCATAGAACCATGGAATATCCTGAGTTGGAAAGGACCCACAAGGATCATTGAGTCCAACCCCTGGCCCTGCACAGACACCCCAACAATCCCCCCCTGTCCCTCAGAGCATTGTCCAAACCCTCCTGGAGCTCTGGCAGCCTTGGGGCTGTGCCCACTGCCCTGGGGAGCCTGGGCAGTGCCAACCACCCTCTGGGGGAAGAACCTTTCCCTGAGATCCAACCTGACCCTGCCCTGGCACAGCTCCAGCCAGTCCACAGGTCTTGTCACTGGTCACAGAGCAGAGGTTGGAGCTGCCCCTTATGATGTTGAAGATCCCAGTGAGGTCTTCCCTCGGTTTCCTCGTCCAGGCTGAACAAACATTCCCCAGTCTGTCCATATATCTGGGGTTGCCCCATCCCAGGGGCAGAATCTGGCCCTTGCCCTTGGCAAACTCCACAGGGTTGGTGGTTGCTCATTTCTGATCTGTCGAGGTCTCCCTGCAGGACCTCCCTCCCTTCCAGGGACTCAACAGCTCCTCCCAGTTTGGTGGTGTTGGCAAAGTTACTGAGCATCCCTTCGAGTTCTGTGGTGAGGTCAGGTCAGGTTAATGAAGATGTTGAAGAGCACAGGGCCGAGGAGGGAACCCTGTGGAACCCCACTGGTGACCAGTGTCACCCGCTGTCACCCCAGTCACTGTCACCCTTTGTGCTCAGCTGCTCACCCATCCTGTAACACAGTTATCCAGCTGTGGGCTGAGTTTGTCCAGCAGGATCCTGGGAGAGAAACTATGGAAAGCTTTGCTGAAGTCCCAAAAGATTCCATCTCCTGGCTTTCCCAGATCAGCCACGTTACCCTGTCCCAGAAGGAAATCAGGTTGGATAAGCAGATCTTTCCCCTGGCTGCAACCAGTTGCCCTCCAGGTGTTTTTCAGTACTTCCCAGAAAAATCTTTTCCATGATTATCCCGGGCACTGAAGTGAGACTGACAGGCCTGGAGTTTCCAGGATCCTCCTTCTTGCCCTTATTGAAAATGGGGACAACATTCTCCAGATTCCAGTCAGCTGAGAACGCCCTGGATTCCCAAGACCACTCAAAAATCATGGAGAGAAGTTTTGTGATGACATCAGCAGCTCCTGAAGGATTCTGGGATGAATCCCATCAGGCTCCATAGATTTGCAGGGATCCAGCTGGAGCACCAGATCCCACATGATTTCAGGCTCCACTTGGAGTTGGTCATTTTGCAGTCACGGTCCTGCAGCTCAGGGCACCGAGGCCCCCCTTGGTCCATCATCCATGCTGAAGATGGAGACAAAGAAAGGGTTAAACCCCTCTGCTTGTCCCTGTCCCTGCTGGTGAGGTGACCACCCTCATCCTGGAACAGGATGATGTCATTTCTACACTGCCATTAATATATTTGAAACATTCTTCCCCATCTGGCAGCGTGCCAGCCCCTCTGCCCCAGGCCTGCAGCTTGTGGGGGGCTGTCGTGCCCAAGTGCAGGACCTGGCACTTCACTGAATCACCTGTGCCCACCCTGAGTCACCCTCTAGCTGTGCCCAGCCTCAGGGGGGTCAGGAACCACAAAGCTCTGCCCAGGAACACCCTGAAGTGGAGAGGAAAAGCAGTAGCCCAAGCTGCCATCAGTTGTTTTTAGGGGCCACAGGTCTCTGAACTGTCCCCCCAGACCCTCCCCACACCAGCTGCCCCCTCCCCAAGCAGCCAAGGCCAAGGCATCAGCTCCAAGAGACGTTTTGGGAAGCTCGTCCCTCAAACCAGCCCCTGCAGGGACAGCCTGAGGATTAAGGTGTCATCACCCTTCCCACCACTCGACAGCTTCAACCCCAAATCCTGCCACCCTCCCAAAAACCAGGGGGAGGTTGGCTGAGGGGGAAGGAGGAAGAAGAAACACTCCGCACAAAAACAATTATTAAAAAGCAAAGTGTGTGGCCACAGCCGCTGGTTTAACTTAGAAATGCTTCACGTGGCCCAGAGGCTTCCAAAAAACCCGAGAGCTGGTGGCTCTCATTCCCCCCACCCTGTCCCACCCCCTCTTAAAATTCCATAAAATCAAAGTTTCACGTTCCACAGAGTTTCCCTTTTTGTGGTGGTGGTGGTGGCCTTGTTTGTGGGTCACTGTGGGGTTGTGTTTCCCCCTGTTCTTGTTTCCTCTTTTCCTCTTGGCCCTCGACATGACCCCGGCACTTCCCACAAAGCCCAGCACGCACTGAGGGACACACAGAGGTGACACTCCAGGGTCCCTTCTCCCACTGGGACAGTGTCTGGGAGGGAGGGGGAAGAGGCCAGCAGCTCCTGCACAAGGGCCTCGTTGCCTCCCTGACCTTGCCGTGGCTCCCAGATTTGCCCACAGGCACTGGGAGGGGGCAGGGGACAGTGAGCACACCAGGTGGAACAGGCTGAAGAGACGCAGGTCAGGAGGCAGCTGCTGGATGAATCCCGGGTGAGGAGTCAAGGAGGAGCCTCCAGCCGTGCCGAGCGGGGAGGAGAATCCCAGGAAACAGAAGAGTTGGGGACAAGAGAGAAGGAGGAGCAGTCCAGAATCCAGTTTCCCACGCTGTGCCAGCGGGGCTCCCGCAGCGGGCACAGGCTGCTCACAGTTAGCTCGGCCTCTCCGCTCCCACAGTCCCTGCACACGGAGGGGCACGGGGCCCCCTGGCACCCCTGGCACCCCGAGCTCACATCATGACGTGCCGCCGGCGGTGCAGGGCCAGGTGGTCGGAGCGGGAGAAGCTGCGGTCGCAGTCCGAGCAGCGGAAGGGTTTGATGCCCGTGTGCTTGCGGAAGTGCCGCGTCAGCTCGTCCGAGCGGGCGAACTTCCAGGTGCAGCCTTCCCACGTGCACTTGTAGGGCTTCTCACCTGTGGGGGGGAGGCACAGAAGGGTCAGCGCTGCCACAGCGACCCCCATGTGCCCCTGGCTATTCCCAGGGAAGGGCAGTTCCTTGGCACCTCCAAAGAGTCGCCGCTGAGCCCAGGGACGGAACACATGTGGCCCGGGGTACCGGCACCACAGAAGGGCCAGCACAGAGCACAGGAGATCCAAAGGTACCCTGACACAGGGTACCAGCACCCTGAGCCCCCAAAAGGACTCCCCAGTCTTTGGCAGAGGGTGCCAGAACCCCTAAAGGGCCACCCCTGAGCCCAGAGATGGACCACGCATGGCCCTGGGTACCAACACTGGGCCCAAGTGCCCCAAAGGTACCTAAGGGGGCCACCCTGAACCCTGACAGAGGGGAACAGCACCCCCACAGAGCACCCTGTGCCTACAGAGAGCACCTCCCAAGAGCCCCCTACGACCCCAGAGGAAAGCCTCCAGCCCTGACACAGGGTGCCAGCACCCTGAGCCCCCAAAGGGCCTCTCCAAGGGCCCCTCTCTGTTTTTTTCAAAGGGCCCTGCACTCCCTAAAAGGCCTCCCCAAGCCCCCAAAGTGTCCCTTAGCTCTGGCATGGAGTGCCAACACCCTCAAAAGGTCACCCCAGAGCCCAGGGATGACCCACTATCACCCTCGCAGCCCATCCCTGGGTGCCCCCAGCCGATGGGGGTCCTGGGGACACTGCTCCTGCTCCCACCTGTGTGTATCCTCCGGTGGGCTTTGAGGTGGGAGCTCTTGGTGTAGACCTTGTTGCAGCCCTCAAAGTCGCACTGGTGGATGCGCCGCTTCTTCAGGTCGGGGGAGTCGGCCCGGGGCCCCCTCACTGCCGGCCTGAGGGAGGAGGGAGGGCTGGAGGCACAACCCTGGCACCCCTGGGCTCTGTGGGGCACCCAGGGGGCACAAACAGGGAGGAGAGGCACAGACAGGGCGAGACTCACTCTCTTTGGAGGTCCTGGAACGGGGCTGGGCCGCTCTCCGAGGCGCTGTCCTCACTGTCGCTGTTCATGTCCATGGGGAACACGGAGCCCGGGTCCATTTTCACAGGTGGGGTCCGGGATAGGAAAGCTGTTGGCACAGAAAGAGGGAAGGGGTGAGGCAGGTGAGCACAGAAAAGGGACACTCCCAAAATCACCCACCCCTACAGCATCAAAACCACCATCCCCCTGCTCCCGCAGGGCATCGAACACTCTCTGTCCCCCCCACGGAATCAAACCCAACTGGGCAGATGGAGAAACTCCCGGGGCGGGGAACAACTTGGGGGGCACCCTTCTGGCTGCCTGCTCCTGCCCAGAGGAGGGCACATCCAGGGAACGTCCTGGGAAAGGGGATTGCAGGGGGCACAGGAAGCAGGCGAACTGTAACCAGAGCTGCTGGCAGCGGGCAGCCAGTGGGAAGGGCAGGCAGACTGCCAGCAGCAGCATGGGTGGAGGACAGGCAGTGCCATGCCCCGCGTGTCCCCGCCCTGCCGTGTCCCCTGAGGGGCACAGGCTGGGGGCTGAGGGCGAAGGTGGCACACGGTGCATGTGTGGGGGGGGGGAGGAACACCCCACAGTGGAAAAACCTGATCCCCTTAGAGAGTGAGGCGGGACAGACGCCCCTCCCTCCCACCCCCCCCTTTAAACTTCAGGGCTGCCCTTACCGGACCCCGCGTTCTTGCCGTCGCCCCCGATGAGGGGCACGGTGATGGCGGTGACGCCGTCGGTGGGCACGGTGGTGTAGACCACGGGCAGCGACTGCACCACCACGGGGATGGTCTGCAGGTTGCCCATCTTGCTGGGCAGGTTGACGGAGGGGATGGTGTGAATGACGTGCAGGATCTGCTGCCCGCCGCTGCCCTGCGTGGACGCCAGGATGGAGCCGGGCGACAGCACGGCCGGGATGGCCGAGGTGGAGCTGAGGCCCGAGGGCGGGATGGACACGGTGGCGGGCGCGGGCAGCGGCGGGGCCACCAACATGGGCGAGGACTGCACCGAGGAGGGGGGAGGCGGCGGTGGCGGCGCCGAGGCGGGAGCCGCCTTAGACTTGTTGAGCGACAGGTCCACGGGCTCAGCCTGGGGCTGGCTGCAGTCGCTGGCCAGCAGCTCCTCGGGGGGCTCCGTCTTGATGTCCGCCAGCAGCACCGGCGGGTCGAGGGGGCCCTCGGCCAGCAGCGCCGACGAGCTCATGGCGGGCGTGGCCTTCCCCTGCGAGAGAGAGAGAGAGAGAGAGAGAGAAGGAGAGAGACCCGTCAGCGCTGAGGGGAAACTGAGGCACCAACCAACAGGGCAAGAGAGGGGGAAGGACTCGGCGCCTCAGGCGGCGCCGGGGCCGGGCGGGGCCGTG